CTCCAGCAGCCCCACTGCTTGCCTCGGGGCTGGCACAGCTCCTCCCAGCGCTGCTCCAGCCTCCCAGAGATGTTGGCAAGGAGGGCTCCGAGCATCCTGTGCCCGCTTGGTCTTGGTCTGAGCAGGGGGCTGGAGATGGCCGGGGTCCTTCGCAGCGTCTGGTTTTTGATGAGTCCAGTTTGTGTGGCTCAGTCCCACTCTTCATTCACCTTCCAGCCCCAATTCCCCCCCCCCAGCTTGCAGGAGGACACCCAGAGGGTGGGGGCCGTAGCAATCCTCCTGCTGGCCTCTCACCCACCAGGGGGGCTGCCTGGGCTCCCTCCAGCTCACCGCACGCTTTAACCCCTGCACAATTGCTCTCTTACAGAAACATGTTTCCTTCCAACCTGATCGAAGCTTCGTTCCAGCAGGTGAGCCCACCCGGCCCCAGCTCAAGCTCTGGAGAGATTGGGATGGTGCTGGGTTTGGCAGGGCTGCTCTCCCCCAGCCACAGCCTGGACACGAGCCCCTTCCCCTCCCTCCATCCCCTCCCTCCGTCCCTGCTCCCTGGCCACTTTCTGCTCACCCCAGGGTGCACACGGAGCAGAGGGGGCTGGTGGGGGACACAGGCACAGGGACACTGAAGGGCTTCTCCACAAAAGCAACATGATGCTTGGACCTCAGGGACCCCACCATTGTGCAGCAGCTCCCCAGTGCCAGCTCCAGGGTCAGGGAGCAGTGCAGAGCAGGCACACAGTGGGACAGAAAGCTGGGTGGAAAGGTTGGGGTGGCTGAAGGAGGGGGGAGGGGAAGGGATGGGCACAGTGTGGGGCAGGACGGCACACTCACGATGTTGGGAAAGTGTTTTTGGGGCTCCCAGGAGGAGCATGGGGCCAAAGGGGCCCCTCTGTGGGCATCACAGTGCTTCCTTGTCCAGTCCTGCAGTGGGATCCTGCAGGGACAGGACTCAAATGCCATGTATGTGCCCAAGGAAGTGCAGTCCTGGAGGATGGCTGTGCTCAGTTTCCCTTGCCTGTTTCTTGCTTCTCTTCTCATCAATTTACTGCCGAAAACCAAACCTTGAGCCTGCAGCACCACTTGGCCCAGTGGTGGCTTTGACTCTGTTCAGAGCAACATGGAGCTTCTTGCCAACCTGACACTAACCTCTCTGCTTTGATTTGTTGCAGTATCGAACTGTCCTTGTCCCAGTGGTGAAGTCCCCAGGATTTCCAAAGATCCCAGGGAAATCCCTCAGTTTTATTTACTTTGCACCTGATGATGAAAACCCTGAAATTCATCACCCTGTGTTTCTCGAGCTGACGCCGTCTCCTGAGATGACCTACAGGACCCTGCCCGGGACCAGCAATGAAATGAACGTCCTGGGGATTGTTATCTTCTCAGCAACCATAGGTACCTGCTAAACAGAGAACTGGGCTTTGCTCTGCTCCCTGGCCATGCTCTCCAGGCCACTCAGTGGTGGCTGCAACCCAGAGCGGCAACTGCAGCAGCCCCCGTGCTGTAAATCAAGGCAGGGATGCTCAGAGGCACAGGACCAGTCGTTTTAGCTCCAGCTGCTCAGGTCCTTGGGAAACTGGGCATGGCAGGCAGTTTGTACCACCTCCCACCAGTAATGTCAGCAACAGAGCCTGCAAAAGGTGTTACAACTGCTTGTTATGCGCAGATCAGCCTGGAGGATCAGGAGGACCCCAGAATTTCCCTAGGAGCCCTCAGAGCCTGAGGTTTCCGAATCGTAACGTGAGCTGCAGGAGCCTTTTTATGAAGTCTGCTAAGGTGAGCGGTAACTTCTGCAGACCCTACGTGGGAAACAGCGTAGTAGTGAAGGTCCAAACCCCCTGTGCTGGTGGCGCTCAAATTCCCTGAGCAGGGAGGAGTCAAACCTGGTGCCTGCCACAGACATGGAAATTTCTACGAGCACTTTGTGAAGGGGGTGAGAAAGCTCCCTGCACTGAGCAGCTTGCAATCCAGCGTGGACAAGGCGTTTGGTAACAAATTAAGGAAAGAAGAAGAGGTTGGATGTGGGGGGACATGTGAAAAGGATGGGGAAGAAGGCTTAAAGGGGAGAAAGTCACAGGGGGAGGAACCTGGAGCTGACTCAGAGCGTGAGGTGGGTGCAAAGCTGAGTGAGAAAGGAGGAAAGGAGGAACCAGAAGGGAAAGGAGTAGGAGGCAAGGAGATCAGCGTGGGGGCAGGATTACACCTAGATTAAGAGGTGAGGGCGAGGAGCCTGAACTTAGTGTGTAAGCATCCAAAAAGCCACTTAGAGGATTTGGGGTGTGGAGGCAGCGCAGGAGAGCGGTGCTGGAGCCCCCCGAACTGCCTCAGGGCAGAGGCCAGGCAGTTTGTGAGGCTGCCACATGCTGGGTGACTGCAGGAGGTGGCCAAAGGGGGGCTGGGCAGAGACAGGCCCACCAGGAGCGCCTCCATCCCAGAGACCAGCGCCATCGGCAGAGCTCTGCCTTCACGCCGGTGCTCGGGGAACGTGTCTTGGGACACCCGTCCTCCTCAGGCCCAGCACAGCGGGTGACCAGAAGCTGCTTTTTCTGCCCCCGGGATTACCGCCCGCCGCCCTGCCGGTGTGGGTAAGGATCAGCGCTGCGTTAGGGCTCGGAGATCACCTGGGCTGGCCCCGGCCACCCCGCTGCACCCATCCGGATCTGGCCTGGGAGGGATTAGAGCTCTGCAGAGCCCAGCACCTGCAGCGGGGCCTGGTGGGAAGCGCCCACGAGGGGCCGCACGAGTCGGGTTTGCCCAGCAGAAAGCAGAGCGGGCAGGGAGGGCCCGGCCATGGCCCTGTGATGTTGGAGCCCCTTTGGAAGGAAACAAAGCTCTGCTCCTCCTCACAACAGCGCAGAGAAGGCCAGGTGAGATCTCAGCAAAGTCCATTTGTGTCCATCTCCAAAATCAGGCATTTCATGAGGCTGTAACCTGCTGTCCGTGTGGTGCCTGCTGGCCGTCAGGAGCAGCCATGCACACAAACTGCAGCACAGAGGTGAAGCACAGCACGCCAGGGGCACCAGAGCAAGGTGCAGGACCCTAAGATGTGCTCTCATCACTTCTTCTGGCGCCCTTGAGGCCTGCTGCTTTGGCCCACCGCCCCGTGCTGCCACGAGGAACCCCACGCAGCCACCGCAGCTCCAGCGGCTTCCTCAGAAGCATCCTCAGAGTCCACTCTGGTGCCTCTGAAATCACGGAAAGGGCAGAGATTTAAAGTTACTTGAAATAAATTGGTTATGTGCTGGGGTGATCTTCTTCATGGCAGCCCTCTGCAGGACACAGAGAAACTGACTTCTTTTAAGGCAGCTGCTATGACCACCAAACACTGGGCGAGTAGCCAAGGAGCCAAGAATGACACGTCCAGCCTTGTCTCATTTCTCAAGGCTGGGCAAAGATGACCCTTTCTCATTTGTTTTCTGAGCAAGACGTTAGCTGGACAGAGTTCCAACTAAATGCACCAGGTCTCTGGGAGTCCTCAGCCCTGAAGACTGGAGAAGGATGAGAGGGACAGGACAAGATGCTGACTATACTCTTCTTTTCCAAGTCGAAGCAGGCACTTCTACAGTGCTGTGGAAGAAATTTCAGCTCATACACCGAGTGTATGCACCAGGCTGGAACCCAGATGGGCAAATACTCAGACTCGGTTTTGTTTTGCTGAAACCTCCTCAGCAGTGAAAACAATGGGATTTAGCACAGGCTAATTTGGTGCTGGCAGACCAGAAAGCCATGCCAGAACCCATCTAACCATTAAGTATTTATGCTCCAGTATTCCTACAACTGAAAATTAGACTGGGAATTGCGTTAAGGCAACATCAAAAGAGGCAGCAGAATTAAGTCAGGTGGCTTAATGCCCATATCCAAGCATGGCTGGATCCTTCCTTACCCAACACTAATGCAGGCACTGTCACCATTGCAGTACAACCTGTGGGCAGGTGGCAAAGCTGTCTGTGGGCATTGGGCAAAACCAAGCACTTCTGTTTGTTTCAGGAACTAGATCATCCTAGTATTACCAAAGAGCAGCCAAAAGACAGCTCATCCCCCTCTAGAAGTGACTCTTTCAGTGACTACCCTCAAGAACCTCGGTGCATTGCACACTGTTCAGTAATACAAATCTCTGTGTTTGGTTGCAGGACTCCTCTTGGGGAAAATGGGCGAGCGAGGAGCCCCGCTAGTTAACGTGTGCCAGTGTCTGAATGAAGCAGTTATGAAAATTGTCTCGATGGCAGTCTGGTAAATCTGTTTTTAATCAATTCAGTTCTTTCCTTACCTGCTAGTTAATGATGGTGCCAGCCATACATATGTCTACAAATATCTACTGTGAGCACTGTACTTATTTTTAGTGTGACTGCATCATAGAGTACCAAATACTGTAATGACCGTGGTGTAGTGCTTCAGTAATTGCTTGATCCCCATAAATAAGTACTCATGCTTATTCTTTGCAGGTACTTCCCCTTTGGCATTGTATTTCTCATTGCTGGAAAGATTCTGGAGATGGAAGATCCCTCGGTTATAGGACAGAAGCTGGGACTATATGCCATTACAGTAGTGTCAGGGCTGGTCATCCACGGACTTTTTCTCTTACCTCTGCTTTTTATGCTCATCACCAGGAAAAACCCCTTTGCTTTCATCAAGGGAATACTGCAAGCCTTGCTGATTGCCTTAGCTACATCCTCCAGGTAAGAAAGCATGGCCAAAATTTGCCGGTACAGCTGGAAGGGCTCTGGCTTAGCTGTGGGAGACCTGGCTGCGCGTACGGCTGGCCATACTGCAGAATAGATGCAATTAACACATAAAAGAGAAATCATGCTCCAGCACTATTCGAAAACCCAGAACAGGGTTTCTGTAGGTGCTTTATAAAGCAGTGCATGGTTATGAGTTTGGATTTTAATTGAAAACATCAAAAACACTTCTGGATACTTTACTGAAAACCTCAGTCAACTCCTGTGTATACCAAGCTCCTCCAAAGGAAAGTTTTGTTTATTTTGATAAGGTTTTATAATTGTAAATAATTTTTCTATCTTTAATTTTTATTGCAAAACATTCTTTGAAACAATGAAGAAGCTGTACATCAGAAACTACCATCCTTTCTGAAAGACGCACAAACCAGAACATTTTCTCAGAAAGCATTAGGCCAAGTGAAGTTTTCCTGCCCTCCCTGACATCAATGCTGTACACGAGCTCAGTAAAACCACAGAGGACCGTCCCTCCCTGCCCTGACCCCTGTCTCTGCACACTGGTGTAGACAACCCTCTCTCGTCCAGCATGGGGGCCCCCATCCCTGTTTCCCTCGGAAGCATCTCCTGTAGCCACCACCGTCCTGCCAGGCACAGGGCCCTGGCAAAACCCCGAGGTTGACACGGGATTCCTGCAGCACCAGCACCATGCTGGGACCTTTCCCTGCAGAGATGGGCTGCCACGAGCAGCTGCTGCTCTCCAGCCAGCGTGCAAGCTGAGGGGCTGTTGTGTAGGGGCTGGTGGGAGAGCTTTGTCCTCGTCCTGCCATCCGCTCTAGGGATTGTGTGCATCTGTGATACACCCTGCACACATTGGAAAAGCAGCGCCTGCCTTGAAGAGTCAATCGCAGTCCCATCGGCTTCTTTTCCATGTTCATTTTCCATCTTTCATTCTGTCCTCTTCCTCCCCATCCTTATCCTGACTCCCACCATACAGCTCACGTCTGTGTGCTCAACAGAAACGAGCACAAGTTCAGTGGGGTGGTACTGGGCAGCACTGGGCAGCACTGGGTGACACTGGTGCAGCTGCTCCCCGCTGCACACTGGGGCTGAACCAGGGCTGAAGGAGCCCCGTGGGGGCTGGGGTGGGCACTTCTGCTTCGTACAAATGTCCAGGTGTTGTGGGATGAATGTGGGGAGCGGGGATTACAACAAACAGCCAGAACCCATGCACAAAGCTCTCCGTAGTGTGATGCCTTCAGACACCAAAATGATTTTTTGAGTTTATTCCGTTGGTACTGCAGGCTGATGACAGACAGTGTCTAACTCCTTGGCTAATTGTGTATTCCCCAGGCAGATGAAGAAATGCAGAGCAATTCGTGTAACAGTGCTGCTGCACTTACCCCAGGAGGACTTATGTTTGTATACCGTTAGGCTGCAGACAGCAGCGTGCTCAACACGGAAAACAATTATTTATCATTTCTTCTCCCGCAGCTCAGCAACCTTGCCCATCACCCTCAAGTGTCTTCTGGAAAACAACGGGATAGACAGGCGCGTGGCACGCTTCGTCCTGCCGGTCGGGGCCACCATCAACATGGACGGCACGGCGCTGTACGAAGCAGTCGCTGCTATCTTTATCGCTCAGGTCAACGAGTACGACTTGGACTTGGGACAAATCATAACAATAAGGTAAATGTTTATTTGCAGCAGTCAAATTAGTTCTCCGTTCTTATAGATATGAGACCAGTATCTCACCCCTTATCCAGTGATTTGGCTGAGACCACCCCAGCTGCTGCAGCCAGTGGGTGACAGCGGGGCTGCCAGCTGGGTAGCACGCCTGGGCAGTGTGATGCCATCGAGCTGTACCAGCACAGGGGTGCACTGGTGTAATATATTCTCCTTCAGGAATACCCTCATTTAATGAGCAAGGGAAAAAAAGCATCTACCTAAAAATAAGTACAATTTCACATATGAAGCCATTCCAGGGAGGGGCTGCCTACGCTGGAAGGCAGAGGGCTGCTTTCAGCACAAGGTGCGTGCCCACAGCCGGGGCCCTGGACAGTAGCAGGGCAGGAGGTGAAGCATTGCAGCTGCAACCCCCCAGGATGGGGCTGCCCCCAGGAACCAAGTGGCCCCCGTGCTGGAGCCTGTCCTCACCTTTCGGAGCTCGCCCTGGTCCATTCCAGCACAGAGCTAGAAGGAAACACTGGCACAGGGGGTCAGGACAGGCAAGCAAATTGTACAAGTGTGCAGGTGACTGCAATGGGAGCCTGAGAAGCAGAATTCCTTACAGTGAGATCTCAGAATAACTGGAAGTGATCTTTCTTGGCCAACAAAGTGTTTCAGGTCCTGTCACTATATCATACAGAATGATATAATGAGGACGTGATTATTTTTATTATTAACATATATAACTTATGCAACACCTCATTCCTTCAAAGAAAAAAAAAAAAAAAAAAGGCAGCTTTTTTGGTGGCACCAATTCTGCAGCCTTCCTCTCTCTGCAGCATAACAGCGACAGCAGCGAGCATAGGGGCGGCTGGGATCCCCCAGTCGGGGCTCGTCACGATGGTCATCGTGCTGACGTCCGTGGGGCTGCCGACCGCCGACATCACGCTCATCGTGGCCGTGGACTGGGCGCTGTAAGTCTCCCAGAGGTGATGCTGCGGGCTGGTGCTAGCGGCAGCTGATAGTGGGGACGTGTTTGGGTTTCCTGGAGCAGCTCTAGCAGAGGTAACAGAGGTTATGGGATCACACACAAGGTCAGGAGCCAAGTGTAAGATTCCTCGTTTTCCCATTATTTTCCTGAAACAGCCTAAGATAATGACAGGTAAAAGTCTCTTAAATGATTGAGTTAAGGTGTTTCTGTTCTGAGGTGCCCGCTGCACTCTGTTGCCTCCTTAGGGACTGTACTCAGAAGCAGTGATGAAATTACCCCATGCAAGATACAAACTTGCGCCTTTTTTTTTTTTTAATCTAAATCCTTATCAGATTGTACCCCAAATTTTTGCTAAGTCGCAAGTGAAAAACAAACAAAACCCCCCTCTGAAATATTGAAATATCTAGGTATGCATGTATACTTTCACGAGATGGAAAGGATTCCACTTTCCTCCATAACAAGACGTAGAAAAGGAGGGAAGCAGACACATATTGTTGTCTTCATAAATGTTACCGTGTAAGGCTGCTAGTTGATGTATTCCCTAGAAATACCTCAAGTCCCAGCCTCCTCCAAGCTGTCCATTCTGTGAGCAAAGGAGGATGGACAGCACGAGACTGAAAGCGGTTTGTCGGACAGGTAAGTGTGGGAAGGTTCAGTGGTCACTGCTTTGGTGGAACATCTCCCTGCGAGATGAACGAGGCTGCAGGAAGGTCTCTGGCTTCATACGAGGAGAAATGAAAACCAGCCAGAAGGGTGCTAACAACAATAGAGACAGAAGGGGTGGAAGCATAAAATTGTTTAGGACAAAAGCATGATCTTTAGGATAAAATTAACTGATACAAACCATAAGCCACTTGGAAATATTTGCAGAGTATGTGCTCATCCAGGTTTCCATTTTTATTCCTAAAACATGGGATTTTTCATAATTAGGAAATAGAGAGGACAGAGAGATAGACTAGGGATAGATAAGAGGGATGGGATAGATGTTTAAAAGGTAAAAAGGAAAAAAAAAAGTGATCTGAGATGCTTACTGATTGTCAGAACAGAACAGTAAAAAGGTAAAGTATGAGCTGGTTGTGACACTAAATCATAGAAGAAAATCAGGGGCCCCTTCATGAATAGATATAATAGTGGGGGAAAAAAAAAAAAAAAAAGTTGCATTCAATAGGCAACTTACATCTTACAAGCCATCTGTCACCAGAACTAAAACATCACTGGAGTTTCTAAAAGTAAGGATGACATTTTCAAAGGATTGCATCCAACGCCAAGGTCTGTCTTCCAGGGAGGTAGTCCTCGCCTTGGTGGATGAAGACCAGATTGATGTTGAGACAAAATACGATGCCTGATAACACTTAGCATAACATATGCATTCACGAAATGTAGCATTTAAAAGTAGTACGGAAAAAATGAAGCAAGTTAGGTAGGTGACAAAAACATACAGCGTAGTTACTGACTTTTAAGGAACTGATGCATGGGCTGCTGGTTTGGTCTTCACAGCCATCCTGTAGAGAGGGAACAGCACAAGTATCACGGCTGCTTTTCTCATTCTTACACTCACAAGAAGTTTAACTTTTCAGGTGGAAGTTGTTACATCAGAACAAAATGTCAGCTACATCTTTGAGCATCACAGGGCACCAGTAGTATCACCTACAGTAACGCTGCCGGCACTTCCTACTGACATGACAAGAACTCACCTTAGGGCTGGACAAACACAATTTCATCCCCAAGTGTCACCTTAAATAGTTTTGTGGCTCAGGGGGCTCATGCAGATTTTGAAGGAAAATGCACGATGCACCAGTTTTGGTAGCAGCGCAGCCACCCCTACACGCTAGAGATGAGTGTGGTGAGATGCTAGTACCGATTTCTTGCTGTATTTGCACAGGGCCAAGGGCAATACCCCATTTGTCTTAGCTAGTTCTTATCAAGAATAATGGTAGAGGTGTCAGGGATGGGGGTTCACCTTCCAAAGCCATAAAAGACCATGGCCACTCTGGCTGTGGCCACCAACTGCAGCCTCACAGCTTTCTCTCTTCTAGGGACCGATTCCGAACTATGACCAACGTCCTCGGAGATGCTCTGGCTGCTGGCATCATACAACACATCTGCGAGAAAGACTTTGCCCCAAAGCCCCCCAAGGTAGGTACAGCTTGTCTGGGAGAGCAGGCGAACACAGGACACATCAGGGCTAGAGACAGACACAAGGGAAGTACTCAATTAGGAAAATAAACCAGCATTTTGTTCCTTTTGCAGCAAGATCCAGTGAGCAACACAGAGAAGTTTCCTTCTGCAGAGACCTCACTTCTGCATCCCAAAGACAACGTGATTGAGCTGATTGAAGAAAGTTTGTTTGATCAGACAGGAGTTCACTACAACATCTGTCAAGTGTAGATCACAGCATTCCCATGCCCAGGATGGGATCTCGGTGCTAAACTGATGCATATGGATGTTCTGCAAGACGAAGGCCTTACTTGGCACAAAAAGTAGAAACATCCTCTACCCTTTGAAGACTTTGGGACTCTCCAATGAGCAGAGCCCGCCACTTGTACGGGAGGATATGGCTAGACTGGCTGTTCTGTATAAAGCAGCTGGGATTTGAAGGTTTTATTCCACACATTTTCCCAAGCCCAGTTCTCTTCCAAAGTTAGGGAGGAGAGCAGGTACTGGGAAGTGGGAACTAGACTGGATTAGAAAGTAACAGAGATGGGAAAACAATCGGACACCTTACATCGGCAGCCTTTATCTGCTGTCCAGGCTGCATGCTGTAAGGCTTTATTTTCTTTAATATATTTTTTAAAATCTTTTTTTATTAATATATATACACTAAACATATTACATACTACTATACTATATAAAGTTCTCATCTAAAAACCTATGTGTACTTTTTGTCCAGATCTCAAAATTAAAGCTGAACATAACGGGATTTTCCAGCCATTACACAAACAGAGAAGAGCTGGTTGGAGCATTTCACTTCCAGTGCCAGAGAGATTCATTTCAGCTGCCAGGACGGAAGGGCCAGCTGTACGTGTATTTTTACCGGCTGTCTTATTATAGTGAAACTAATTGACCAACCCAGTTGCAACCGTGTTGGTTTTCCAGCTAAGGATCTGTTCCCAAGTTCAAATTTCCATTCCAATTACAGCCTTAAAGCACAGGCTTCCAAGGGCAGCCTTCTCCACAAAAGCCTTTTACACAACTGATTTATGTTGCTGAATTCATTCGCTTCTTGCAATGTCCCCTCATGCCTTTTCCCCCTGGGTTTGTCATTATTGTCACAGCACGAGGCTCATGGAAGCAGCCTAAATGCAGACCAACATCACTTACTTTCTCCAGAAGGCAACACTGGGCCCAACTCACAGGGAAATTGATGAGAATGCTCCTAAGGCTCAGATAAAGCCAGAGGAGACCCAGAGAGCAGCGAACAGGGCCCTGGGGCATGCCCAGCACAGCCCCTTGCAGCGACTTTGTGCAATCTCCAGGCAGAATCACTGTCAATGAAGCTGGAGGTACTGCTGTCCACTTTGGCATTTCTTACCCTTCACTCCTAGGTTAGTTTTGTACCCTCCTATACATTTAATGTCCAACTCCTCTTCAGTAGGGGCAGTCGTGGGGTCAGAAACCCACACCCCAAACCAAGGGAACCCTGCAGCTTCCCAGGTCACCCCTCCACGATCAGACGGTCGCATCGTGCCCACCAACACTCAGCACTGCCGTCTATTAGGGGCGCTCTGCAAACTGTTCATCTGTCCCTGGAGCAGGTTTGGGCACACAAAAATCCAGGGTCAGAGGCATCACAACACAAGGGAGGCTGTGGGCTGCAGGTGCCCGTGCCCTGATCAGTCCCACGCAGAGCTGGGTGCCCCAAGCCACGCACAGAGGAACGGGTGCTTTGGGAGCACCCTGCCTCCATGCACTGCAGTCCTACCCCAAATGACATAAAGCAGGGCATCCTCATGCTCACCACAGCTGAAAGAACACATCATTACTGACAAAACTGAATATTACACCTTAGAAGTACATCCAGAACTGGCAGAGTAAGCAGAAACCTGCATGGTTTGCCTCTGAAGCTGCAAGTATTGGGATTTGTTTCCATGGTCACTACTGGGGTCCCTCAAGGTTCCATTTTAGGGCCAGTCCTCTTCAATGTTTTTATAAATGATTTGGATGTAGGACTCAAAGGTGTTTTGAGCAAATTTGCCGATGACACCAAACTTGGAGGAGTTGTGGACTTGGCTGAGGGTGGAAAGGCCTTGCAGAGAGATCTGGACAGATCGGAGCTGGGCGATCACCAACCACATGAAATTTACCAAAAGCAAGTGCTGGGTCCTGCACCTGGGATGGGGCAACCCTGGCTACATGTACAGACTGGGCGACAAGATGCTGGAGAGGAGTCCCATAGAAAGGATCTCGGGGTTGTGGTTGACAGCAAGTTGAATATGAGCCAGCAGTGTGCCCTGGCAGCCAGGAGGGCCAACCGTGTCCTGGGGTGCATCAAGCACGGCATCGCTAGTTGGTTGAGGGAGGTGATTGTCCCGCACTGCTCTGCGCTGTGCGGCCTCACCTCAAGCACTGTGTGCAGTTCTGGGCACCACAGTAGAAGAAAGACATTAAACTGTTGGAGAGTGTCCAGAGAAGGGCGATGAAGGTGGTGAAGGGCCTAGAGGGGAAGACGTACGAGGAGTGGCTGAGGGCACTGGGCCTGTTCAGCCTGGAATCACCAGTGACAGGACCCATGGGAATGGTGTTAAGCTGAGGCAGGGCAGGTTTAGGCTGGACAGCAGGAAGAGGTTCTTGCTGAGAGGGTGGTTGCACACTGGAACAGGGTCCCCAGGGACATAGTCACTGCACCGAGCCTGTCTGAATTTAAAAAGCGATTAGACTGTGCACTTAGTCACATGGTCTAAAATTTTGGGTAGACCTGTGTGGTGCCAGGGGTTGGAGTCAATGATCCTTATGGGTCCCTTCCAGCTCGGGAAATTCTATGACTATGATTTGTCAAACATCAGTAACATCTCCCGCTATCTGGTGATAGCTGTTTTATTAGATAAGCTCCAGTTCTGAAATCAGCAGCAAGGACATTGTTTTACCAGTGTTAAAAACAAACAAACAAACAAACAAACAAAAACAGTATAGGAGAGCATTAACAGTCCAGCAGTCTTAAAAAGAAAACTGGGAGCCAATGGCCAAGGACAGTGGATGTAGTCAGTGCCCCTCTAACAGGACGAAACAGGGAAAATAATTCAAATGTTTCTGGCAGTCTGATGGCCACCTGAAGCCATCAATACTGGTGTGGAAAAGCCACAGGCAGCAAAGGACAATGCAAACTCTTCAGCGCTGCAAAGAGGCACAACCAACTTAATACATTCCAACAGGAACAAACTGTGGATAAATTTAGGAAACAGTTACTAACTGCCTGAGTTGAGCTGCTAGCAAGGCACCCACTGCCTCGGGCATCCTTGGGATGGTACCATCCCAATTCCACTTGTACTTTCAATAAACTGCTGCGGGGGGAACATTTCTTCATTTCTAGCTGTTCAGTAGGGAACGACAGCCTTCATTTGCCAAAGCTGAATGCAGGCAGGCATCCATCGAACCCCAAAATGTCAGCAAGACTTTAGGCATACAGAGCAATGCCAGTCCCAAAAATCCTGGCATAAAAGCCATCTATTTGGCTACACGAGCTTTGATGAGGGAATAAATTCCACCAGTGGGTTTGGGGAATTTGAGGATGTGACTCACAATAAACACTGAGCTTAGTCAAATGTTTCATCAGTCTGACCCTTCAGCTTGAGTCAAATCCTTACCCAAGAAAATTTCTTCCTACAGTCCATGACGGGGCTGCCTCGATCTTAACAACAGGCTGCCCTCCTGTTCTCACTATTAGCTGTTTTCTAGAGCAGGAATTATTTTTACATTTCTGAATTTATAAAATAGTCCTGAGTTTTGATCGTGGAGCTTCATTTTATATCATTTTTACATTTTTTCAGGATTTAAGAGAAGTGACATAATAGTGGCATAGCAAATAACAATCGAGACAGTACAGAGTCAGCAGAGAGCGCTGCCACCTGTTTTTTCCTTCTTCCAGATCAGAATGTACTTTGGTTTGCCTTTTACTGAAACTAAAAAACAAAATAACTCAACATTGTAGCACATGGCAAAATAAAGTTAAAATAAAAGATGTGAAAAGCAGACAAAAAAAATATTAAATAGTATCAGTTTCAAAATTACCCCATGGAAGTTTTCTAGGATAACTTTTTGAAAATTCCATTCCACCAGAAGTTTCAAAAGTGTTTATTTAAGTCTATTAAAACAACAGCTCTCTCTGTAAAAGATTTCCAAGCAGTTCTAAGTGACACATGTGGGTTAATTATTAATTAATTAAATATAAAATGTAGGCTACATGCTGCTATAAATTAGCAGCATGTAGCCTACCCAAACTACTCCTTTTAGGAGTAAATGTCTCCCTCATGAACGTGTGGTCAGACTTGTCTGTCGTTGCCTCTTGCTATGTCCTAAGAGACTTTTACCTGTCATCTGCCTCACACCTGTCACTGTAGGTACTTATTTCCTCGTGGAATTTTTCATTTTGTCTCACGTGCTGACAGACTTTCTAGAAACTATGAATAATTCATTTTAGTCCCTACTGCCTATGGCAGAACATGGCCATGCTCGATCATCTGCTCCTGAGCTGATGGAGCACTGAAGTGGTGTCCCTTCTGTCCTTTTCTGCATACAAGATATTTAAGGAATTAACTATCTAAGAAAATCTTGTGATGGAAGTTTGTATAAACACAAACTTAGATGACTTTTTTTCCCTTTGTTCTTCGTTTTCCTCACCCTGATGCAATATACATTAAATACCTGTACAAGCCATGCATCCTCCAGCTCCCCTCGAACCATACAAGTATTCAAACTCCTCCCAGCAAGTGCCCAGGACCTTGGCCACAGCACGGGAAATTAATGAAGTGCCCCTGTCCTCAAAACCTCGTGCCCATGCAGCATGCAGACAGTGGGAGCTGTGCAAAGCATCATTCCCCAGCAGCAGCCCGTGAATGGCTTCTGCTCCTCGGGAAGGTCAGGGTGCACCTCCTGTGTCCTCACACTCCAGCAACCTCCACCAGGGCGCTTGGGCAGCTACACCCCACCTCATTCAGCAGATCCTCCTGATGATGGAGTGGTATGAGAGAACAAAAAAAAGACGTGGCATGGAGGTGTCTGTGTTAACAATGGCATCTGCAAATGGCTGGGGTTGCACAACAGAAGTTCAGGTACGCTTTGCATTTGAACCCTTCATA